ACAAGACCAACTTGCACAAGGAACCATTATCCACGTTATCGATAAGCTATGTAACCAACAATTATGTAACAGATTGTTAGTGTTGCGTAGAAACTCAGCAAATAAGCAGAAACACAAAGATAGACAAAAGATGGTACATGAAGGAACATGGAACTGGAAAGGAGATGAAGTTTTAGAAAAAGATTATCAAGTGCAGAACAAAGGAAGTTTACCTGAACAACAGGCATCATAGTTGGGAGAATGTCATCACCAAACACATTTGACAGAACGTCTAGAGCAGCAGCACTACATTTCCTTAGATTCCACACATTGACTATGTCATCATCCTGCATTTGTAGCAAAATTGCTATCTATGAGATTTTTGATTGATTTTCTAGTCTCCCTATGCATGAAGATGGCTTAATTGTAAGCCAGCTAAGGAAATGAACAAGCTCCTAAAACTTTTCACTTACATCATCATCTTCTGCATCTTCTGAACCATGAAGTCTTGATGCATGAAAATGGGGTTTGAGATCCTAAAATGCCAAAAAAAAAAAAACACACACACACACACACACACACATCCACTAAGAAACAACAGTATGAATAAATTATGACAAATCCGAATGTCCAGCAAAATATCAGTAAAAGATGATTTAACCCTCACCTGCTCCCTGTCTGGAAGAGAGTCATCCTCCTGGAATAGCAAAGGAAGACAGAGTGTTAGCTGTTAATCACACACAAGTGATTATATAATTAGCTAGAAAGGCAAAGTCAGAAAGAAATATTGACCTCCGCCTCAGCAAGAGACTCATCATCATCGGCATAAACCATGTTCGATAACAAAACCTGCAATTTGGACCAGATTGATTAGAACAATAAGACAAATGTACCCCAAGGCTCAACATAATTAATAATGGCTCCAACAAACAAAATAATGAACTGAACGCCCCAAGTCAAGAATCGCTGGGTACCGGAATCAAACGTGGCAAGAATTCTCTTAGGTTCTCAGGTGACAACTGAGTATCACAATATGCAGACCTGTCAATGACAGCCAAATTAAGATACAAGCAAAGCAAAGGAGAAGCTAAAAAGAGCTGGCAGGCCTTCATAAAAACCAAGACCCAGAACACCATAACTTGAACTAGATAATATTTTAGAGATAGAAAGCCAAGTATCCAAACTTAAATATGAAAAACTTAAACACGCATAAATTAACATATTTCATGTACCCAAGAGCCTCCACCCAAGTTAGCAAATGTCAAAAATATTTTGCCTCGAAAGTGAGGATTACCAAAATTCACAAGCTTCAAGAGCCACTTCTTCATCTTTGTCCTTGTTGACTTGCAATATGTACTCCATGACTTGCTTTAAATGTGGCTGAATTCAGAGAATAATGTCATCAAAGGTTGAGAAGGTGGGCATCATACATTGGTTAAAATAACATGATTCAGGGTAATGTAAAGTGAGGCAGACAAAAGAGTAGTAAACAAAATAACTAACACATGTTGCATCTTGCATGGAACGGCCAAAAAGAGATGATAACAATATCAGCAAACAGCTGATCTAGAAGAATTCACTTTTTTTAGAATACACACCTCTAAGAATGATGGGCGGACCTCAATCAGCTGAACAAAAGCTGCACAAACCTGTCCAAGAGGAATGTTATCAACAGAAAGCTAGAAGGTAGAGCACATAACTTGCAGCACAAGTATGTCAAGTAGCAGAGGTTATAAACTTAAATAGTTTAGAAGTCAGAGTAACTAAGTGCTCACCAATTTTCGAACTTCCGGAGCAGGGTCATGAGCAAGAACAAACAAGCCCTGGAGATACTGGTTCATGGATGCATATAGAGCCTGTGCCGCAAGCAATGATATAGTGTTCATAGTCCAAAAGTGCTCAAATGTCCATGACGATTGGCAAACTAATACAAAAATACAAGGTATACTTACAGCTGGCATCAACATAATGTATTGATTTATGGAACCCAAGGCCAACTTTCTCAAAGAGGTATGTGGTGACTGGAAAAACTATTAAAAGCAGAGACAGTAATGATTAGGACGGGTTGCAAAGCAAAAACCTTGTAAATCAGAGATAAACTTTATGTTCCCGCCCATGACAATAGAATAGTGAGGATACCTGGTATAATCGAGGAAGGAAAATCTGGATGGGGCGATCAGGCAGGCCAGGCACATCAGCATCTAATAGTTGAGGAGCATCTTCACAAATCTGTTACACACCACCAATTTCATGTTGCAAAATCAGTGCTACTAAACCAATTCAAGCACCAACTAGCATATCTCCTACTGCCTCTCAACTAATAAGTTTCAATTGGCATAACAGATCCAACATAACAAAGGCTACAAGTGGCCATGAGGGTGTGGCCGGGGAAAAAGAACCACATGCATTCTCAGACCTCAGCACAAAAACTGAAATTCGAGGAAACCACTCAAATTTGCCTTGATGAGAAACATGATTGACGAATTTAACAATGAGAATTGAATGCTCAGAGAACTAAATGGAAGTAAGCTATTTGTGTAATGCACACTCACAGAGTAACAGTATATTGCCTCTTTTCTATATTACAGCAAGTATTGTTTCAAAACAATTCCATTCACCAACTAATACTCATGTTAACTGTCATACCTTAGACAAGGCATCCATCGCACCTTCCATATGATTCAAGTCATTACTCTCCAAGCAAGTAACAAGAGCCTGTAGTAATTCCGGCCATCCCAATATACCCCCAAGCTGCACTATTTCAGTAATGATTGTCCCAACAGTTGACCTTATATGCTTATCAGGTGCTCCTAAGCATGGGAGCAACCCTGACCTAATGTACTGTTGACTTTCAGAAGTCATGGACTTGTAGGCCTTTCTAAGGTTGTTCTTCAGTAGTAGACCCGCAGCTTGTCGAATTTCCACTGATGTACCCTGTTCAGGCAAAACAAATATAACATACAGTTGCCAACATTAGGGTGCTTGACATATTTACGAAATTATCCTAAGTTGAGTGAAACAAGGCTGTAAACCAATGAAGAGGCATCACATCAATAGGAACCATCAATAGCATTCCAAGTTACTTGGACAGCGGAATTTCTCATAGTAAGACTATCTAGCAAAGCATTACCAGATTCACTAGCAACTCTGAAGTCTTATACCAGTAATTCCGATCACATTACTACGGTTTCATGCTTCAATGAATTTGGTTGCAGCTATATAGCCTAATTCTATCGACTTCACAACCGACCTTAGCACCTACAATACAAACATATTCTCAAGCCAAAACATCAGATTCCAATCACTTCCAAATCCTCGCACAATAAACCACCCCACAATTCATAAAACTTGACATTACACTATCGAACTAAAAATACAAAACAGAGCACCATAAACCCTTGGCCCGATTGAGAAACAGAAAGAGACAGCTTCCACGGAGCAAGAGAATCAAACACCTCGGCACGGGCGAGAATGAAAGCGAGATAGTTGTTGAAATCGGGATGCTGGGAGTAGGTTTCCAGCTGCTGCCAAATCTGGGACTTATCAGCAGTTGAAGAAGGTGAAATCTGGAGCTCCAACAACGCGCAGATCTCCTTCACGCCACCTTCTTGCGGCTGCCATGAGGTGGTGGAAGCAGCCGTCGCCGCCATTATTTTTCTCCAAATTCCCTAGTTCCAACTTTTCCGACAAAGGGTTGTTTCGCGGTGCTGGGGAGAGATTGAAAGAAGCAAAACAGGAGCCGCAGCAGCCGATAGCCCACAAAACAAAAGGAGAAAAGTCTTTTCAGCTCGCTAATGTCGTCTTCCTTCTTCCCTCGGCGTATAGTATCGTGGGTATATATACCAAAGCAATAATACAGACTGTATCAGTGGAAAGTTTGGGACTTCGAAACGTTTTGGTTTATAAATTGCAAGGAAGGGAAGGAACAAGACCAGGGCGTTCGAAGCGTGGGGACTTGAGGAAGAAAGAAACCAAGTACAAACGCAGAGGCAGAAACCACTTTCTTCGTTGGGATAATTTGGAGTGAGCTTTGCATAAATTTGTAAAAAGCAATTTCCCCATTTTCAAATTGGGTAATCAAATTCACAATTTTACAGCTAGGGTTTGGGTTTGCCACAATTTTGTAATTTTGATATATTTTTTTTATTGCCGTCAACTTAAAGTGTTACTCAAAGGGGATGGTTAATAGTGGAATATTGGATCAACAAGTGGCACGATCTTGTTTTGTTTAGAGTTGGATCGAATGAGATATGGACCAAATTAATTAATATAAAATAAAAATGAGGATCAAAGTCTGACAAAAAGCACATGAGTATGATTCGGTTTAATCTAATTTCAAATTAATATGAAATTTATTTTTATATATCCTAGAAAATTCGTTCCAATCCAAAAAAGGAAAATGTTTTACCTAATTCGATTTGCTTAATATGGGTCTTTTGGATCGAATTTACATACACCTAATGTCAATATGTGGTGAATGTATCCTTCGTTACAATTAAACAAATCCGAATGCAACTTCAAACTTAGTGTAATACAATTTTAGAAATAAAAATATTTACCAGTCATTGAGCTTAAAATAAATCAGTTGAATTGTGAGTTTAGGTCTAACATCACTTATGAAGTTGGGCTATGGATATGAATGAATGTATTTGGCCAATCATTTTTCACAGCCAAAACTTATGTTTTGACAAACCCAAAAGTTTGCTAGTTTAAATGCCAGATTGTTATGAAGAATTTGCATAACAAACAATTATGATAAAGAAAATAATGGTGTTCCTTACTCATCATCCTTAAGGCTCACACGAGTACACCAAATTGTTATGATGAATTGAATTTGCATGACAACCAATATGAGTCGAGTGTGAGAGATATAACTATTTAAATCATTGTCTCACACATTGTCCCATGGTTTGTATCAAAGCAACAACATACTAGGTGACTTTTTAAGTATTTACGAGTTATAAACAAATCTCCCCTAGCAAGAGAGTGAATCACACCCTAAAAATTATATAATAACCTCATTCGCAATTTAAATTTTATTTCTTCCACATTCAAGAGACGAAATCTATCTTGACTTGCAGAGAATCAGGCATAACGAAGATGAATAGTGCATCCGAATCTCGCTAGAAATCGTTGGCCATTATCAACAGATGAAGTGCATCAATTGACCTAAATGGTAATAAAGTTTAGAGAGACACCAGATTGCCACAGCTCTTCCCCTCAACTTTCCATATACAAGTAAAAAACAGAGAATGCTAAGTTTGTCATTACCAACAAATAAACAAAGCCACCCTTGTGGCCTTGTTGCTTCTGCACACCACACCTTTGCACAGCAATTCATGTTCAAATGAGTGCGCATTCCCTTTTTACCTGTGCGTGCTCCCCCTGCTTGGCTGCTGCACTTTTTTACACATTAAAAATTGATGAACTTTTCAACCTTTTTTTCACTGCCCATCCATCGACATTCAAATGCTATAGTACTATTGGCGGAGAGAGTGGTTGTGAGCCTGCCTTCAAAGCCTGCTGTTTAGTGCTCTGTGTAGCTTGCTTACTATACTAGCTAACAGCAGTAACAAACAACCAACATCCACATTCCAACTTTTTTTCTGCACAAGATTCCAAAACTCTTTTGGAGCAACATCAGCCTTTCTTTCAAATCCACAGTCACAATGTTCTTTCACTATTTCATTACCAAAGCATGACAACTGAAATGGGGTAGAGAGATTCTTTAAGCTATTCTAGTACATCAAGACGAGACTCTTAACTCGACCACCCAAGCAGAGTTCATATACAAAGGAAGCAGTTCCTCTAGTGGTGTAAAGTTGAAGGTTTGTTGCAACAGCCACAGGCCAACGGAACGGAAGAGAAAGCATCCTAGGTAATATGGTGAGGCGGTCCTAACACTTCTAGCAAGGATACATCTGGTACAATCTAGCAAGTCGGAGTTTTCTCCCTGGTTGCCTAATAACAAGGATGTGTAATATTTGGAATAGCAATCTAAACCCTCACTGCCATGTTGCAAAGCTACATCAACCTGTGCTAGTCAGGATTATGTAATGGTGTCAGTAAGTCAGTAAATTGTACCCAAGTAGATGAAAACGATTCGGAATCAGTCAATCAGATCCAGAAAAGAAACCACTTCTTCTGGAGCACTGTAATCCAGAAGAGAATGTAGAGTGCCCTGCATAGCAAACGGGTTTTTAGAATCCATCAATAGAGCCCCAGATGGTATGAAAGTTAAAAGTTATCAGCGGAACTGTCAGATAAAAAGCAGAAGAAATGTAGCAGTTCGCTTTATCTCATGTGTCACAGTTACATGGAAGGCATCGTTTACAGAACAAGCACTACTGCATAGCCACAGCCACTTGAAAAGAGCATGATTATTGACTAGTGAGCACCAGGTGACTCAAGACATACCAGAATAATGTGGTTCCGAAAGCGTTACGATTTCAAAAGCCAAAGAAAATGAGTAAGGTATCCAATTACAACTACAGAGGCCAAGGCTGAAATGTATGATTCCTCAAATACCTTTGTGTTTTGGCTATGGGAAACTAGATCCACTCATCATCAATTCTAAAGCCATGCTGTATCTCAGTTCTGGTTTCTTGCTGCAGCCTGTTCAAAAGTGGAAGCCAACTAAAAGTTAAACATAGTTATGTTAATTTGTTCAACACAATTTAGATGCTGAATATGCATTAGTACAAAGGTTTTACTCAAAACTCAAATGCCAGAAACATTGTTCATCACCAGAGAGTAACTATGACACCCTCATCCAACTATTACAAGTTGAATATCTGAAAAATGTCTAGATTTGATAACTACGGAAGCATTGTTCCCACCTTTTGAAGCTTTTCGAAAACAGAATCCTCGTATGCCTTGTAACCAGCTCCAACCAAATTAGTTATTCCATCGAATTCTGCTGCTTGCTGGGTGGGTGGAGGAAAGTCCTTTGCTTGAGCTGCTTGAACTGGTAACACTAGAAGAGGATTGGAGAGATCACCCAAGACTATTCTAGTGGCAGCAACCTACAAAAACAAAAGGTAACAGAATTCATTTAAGTGATCTGAAAGATCCAAACTGTAAATCAACTGACAGTAAGAAAAAAATAATAATCACAGCACTCACCGCAGCTTCCTGAGTAGCCATAACAACAAGGGCCGAGCATTTTTTCTTGGAGCCCTTGATGACAATGTCTTCAACTTCACCAAACCTGGAAAATATCTCTCTCAACCTTTCTGCAGTATAGCCCACACCCACTTTCTCCCAAGACACCTTAAGCATTTTCCCCTTGTCCAAATCAACCCCACCCCCCTTAGCTGATGCTTCTCTCTCCTTCCTCTTCGATTCTGAAGCTGCAGCTGTCTGTCCTCCTTTACTTGAGTGCATAGCCTTTATCCTCTCAATCTCCTCCTTCAGCTTCCTGACAATCCTCTCCTCTTCAGCACGAGCCTTAGCTGCAGGGTCAGGAGCAAAAGCCGCCCGTTCTCTATCTTCAAGGTCCGAGACCATCTTTCTACGCTTCGAATCCTGCTGAGACCTTCTGGCTTCCTGCTCTCGCTTAACTCGAAGCAGATCATCGAACAGCTTTCGAGCCTTCTCATCTTTAAGAATCTCATAAGAAGATTTCAGTTTCTGGAAGTTTTCCTGCGCATTTGGATCGTCAGGCCTCTTATCTGGGTGCAATTCCAAAGCTTTGAACTTGTATGCCTTGGATATCTCCTTTTCGGTGAGCTTTGACCCTTCCTCTCCGGAAGGCAGCCCCAGGACCTTATAGTGGTCAATTTCTACGTTCATGGCTTCTTATTCAACAAGCACAGCACTACCCCCAAATCACTGGAACTGCAGAATAATGAATTGAAGAATGTTAAATAAATTAGGTCAATCAGCTGACTAGCCGGAAACGAAAATTCTCTCCGACGTTACGAATCGACGACGGAGCTCTCTCTATCAGACTAAGAAAAAAGGATAATTCTTCTCTACTGAGATCGGAATACGATAGGTAGGGAGCGAGATGAACGTACCCAGAGAAGATTCGAGAGCTGGAAACGGAGCTTCGACTAACGGCGGCTTCGGTCCTCACTTCTTCGGATGGGGGAAAAGATTCCCTAGGTCTCTTCCCCTTCGTCAGGCGACACTACAAACTGGGAACTTGATAACGTTAGGAAGCTAAGAATTCGAGGAATTCGCCGGAATGTGGACTCTAGTCGTACCGAAATCGCGCCGGCGGGAGGAAAGGGATTTTCTTTGTTTCGTGTTTTGTTTTCCGTCGCAGCGTCGCTACTACTTTCCCTTCCCCTATTTTATATTTTCAAGTTTTTTAACGTGGTTGGCTTGTTGCCTTTTTCCTATTGGCTAATGGGAACTCCCTCCAAACAACAAAGCTATGCCGCTCAAGATAGGGGTGTAGATGGAAATCGGTACGGTATCGGTATCTCAATACTAAATATCGAAATTCCGAATATCGAATTATATTCAAAAGTCAATCACAATTCCTAAATAATTTCGGTATCCCAATCTTAATCCCTAAATATTCCGGTATTCTAATTGGTATTTCGGTATCCCGATCGGTATTATCGAATACGAAATAAATTATATTTTGAAATAAATAATTAAATATAGAAATTAGATTTGATTGTTTAAAGGGCAAATGACTAAGCAAAGAGTTTGAGTTTGTCTAGAGCTAAGATATGGATTAGGAGAATGAAAGAGAGGTGACATCTCAAGTTCTTGTCATTGGTAATCTTTAATTTGACGAATTGAAGGTTGGTATACGACTAATACTAGTGTTTGCTTTTTGGTGTTATGAAATTAACAAGTTATTAGGTGAGAGATGAGAGTGACTTAAATTCAAAAGTCAAAATTGAGTTGGATGGGGACTTTTGAATTGTGAAACAAAGATGAAATTATTCATGTATAATTAAATGACACTCTTGGTGGTTGAGGGTTGTGTAGTAGTGAATGAGAGAGTCTAGTTGAGAGGAAAAAATACACACAAGCTTATATTTCGGTATTGATCGGTATTTACCGATCCCAATCCCGTAATCACTAATACCGAATTACAATTGAAATTCAATCCCAATCCCAAAAAATAATACGTGTATTCGGTAATACCAAATATAGACAAATTCGGTACGGTATTCGGTATATCCCAAATACCGGTACCAAACTTCCCGCCCTAATAGGGTGCACAACCATTGGTTATGCACCCATCAATAACTAAATATGGACCCTTCATTTAGAAATCCAGATTTAAGAATGGGGAAATTTAAAAGTCATTTTTATTTTCCCTAACTTTCTTAATCGGCTCATATTTTCTTCGTTTTAACTCAGATTTTAATTTTTTTTTGCACAGATGGAACGAGTTCGTTGTGCTCTACAAAATTAGATCCATTTTCAATATTTTTTTAGAGAAAAAAATTTCCTGCCTCTCAGTACCAACTGCATACCACATAGTATCTTCTTCGTTTTCAATTCGTTTTTGAAAACGTTTGCACAGTAGGAACGAGTTCATCATAATCTATTGGATCTACAAATTTCTGGGTGTACAAATTACAGGACCAAAAAATACCACACAATACCACCCCGATACGGGGTGGTAGCTTGTGGTACACAATGTTAAAAGTCGTAAATGACAGTTAATATACTTCTACTATCATGTATTCAACCATCCTACATTCTTTGTTTGTTCATACCACCATGGTACGCTTTTCAAACCATAGGTGTGCTCTTACTTCAATACCAGTCAATACCATATGGTATAGACTCGTAAAAAATTACGAAAATGTCATCCGGAAAAAAATTACGAAAAGTCCATTAAGCACCGATTTGGACGGGTTTATTCCGCGTCAATTTTGGGCAGATTCCAAAGGGGTACCATCTCACATTTCGGGTGATTTTTCCAAAATACCATTTCTTTCGATTCCGAAGGCTAAAATTCACGGAATCAGGCCGATGATATTCTCCACCGATAATGAAGTCTATTGATCCTATTCACCACTGATGATAAACCAATTAAGCATCGATTTGGGCAAATTTATTTTCGGATGGGATTTTCATTATTTTTTGAGCGACGAAAGGCCATTTTAGATCACGGATTAGCCTAAGGCGAGTCTTCAACGATGATTAAGTCCATTAAGCACCAATTTGGGAGGATTTATTCCGGGTCAATTTTTGGCAGATTCCAAAGGGGTACCATCACAGATTTCAGACGATTTTTCCGAAATGCCATTTTCTTTCGATTTTGGAGGCTACCGATCACGGAATGAGGTTGAGGCTATTCTCCACCGATAATGAAGTCTATTGATCCTATTCTCCAGGGATGATAAGGCCATTAAGCACCGATTTGGGCCAATTTATTTTCGGATGACATTTTCGTATTTATTTTGGACGACGAAAGGCCATTTTCTTTCGATTCTGGAGGCTACAGATCACAGAATGAGACCACGGTTATTCTCCACCGATAATGAAGTCTGTTGATCCTATTCTCCAGGGATGATAAGCCCATTAAGCACGATTTGAGCCAATTTATTTTTGGATGACATTTTCGTAATTATTTGGGCGACGAAAGGCCATTTTCTTTGGATATTGAAGGCAATAGATCACGGATTCGGCATGAGGCTACTCTTCAACAATGATTAAGTCCATTAAGCACCAATTTGGGCGGATTTATTCCGGGTCAATTTTTGGCAGATTCCAAAGAGGTACCATCACAGATTTCGGGCGATTTTTCTGAAATGCCATTTTCTTTCGATTCTGGATGGTACAGATCACGGAATGAGGCTGAGGCTATTCTCCTCAGATAATGAAGTCTATTGATCCTATTCTCCAGGGATAATAAGCCCATTAAGCACCGATTTGGGCCAATTTATTTTCGGATGGCATTTTCGTAATTTTTTGGGCGACGAAAGGCCATTTTCTTTGGATATTGAAGGCTACAGATCAAGGATTCGGCATGAGGCTATTCTTCCACGATGACTAAGTCCATTAAGCATCGATTTAGGTGGATTTATTCCGGGTCAATTTTTGGCAGATTCCAAAGGGGTACCATCACAGATTTCAGACGATTTTTCCAAAATGCCATTTTCTTTCGATTTTGGAAGCTAAAGATCACGGAATGAGGCTGAGGCTATTCTCCACCGATAATGAAGTCTATTGATCCTATTCTCCAGGGATGATAAGCCCATTAAGCACCGATTTAGGCCAATTTATTTTTGGACGTCATTTTCGTAATTATTTGGGCGACGAAAGGCCATTTTCTTTGGATAATGAAGGCTACAGATCAGGGATTCGGCCGGAGGCTATTCTTCAACGATGATTAAGTCCATTAAGCACCGATTTGGGCGGATTTATTCCTGGTCAATTTTTGGCAAATTTCAAAGGGCCATCACAGATTTCAGGCGATTTTTCCGAAATGCCACTTTCTTTCGATTCTGGAGGCTACATATCACGGAATGAGGCTGAGGCTATTCTCCACCGATAATGAAGTCTATTGATCCTATTCTCCAGGGATAATAAGCCCATTAAGCACCGATTTGGTCAATTTATTTTCGAATGTCATTTTTATAATTTTTTGGGCGACGAAAGGCAATTTTTTGTGGATATTGAATGCTACAGATCACGGATTCGGCCTGAGGCTATTCTTCAACGATGATTAAGTCCATTAAGCACCAATTTGGGCGGATTTATTCCGGGTCAATTTTTGCCAGATTCCAAAGGGGTACCATCACAGATTTCAGACGATTTTTCCGAAAAGCCATTTTCTTTCGATTCTGGAGGTTACAGATCATAGAATTAGGCCGAGACTATTCTCCACCGATAATGAAGTCTATTGATTCTATTCTCCAAGGATGATATTCCATTAAGCACCGATTTGGGCCAATTTATTTTCGGATGACATTTTCGTAATTTTTTGGGCGACGAAAGGCCATTTTCTTTGGATATTGAAGGCTACAGATCACGGATTGGGCCTGAGGCTATTCTTCAACGATGATTAAGTCCCTGAAGCACCGATTGGGGCGGATTTATTCCGGGTCAATTTTTGGCAGATTCCAAAGGGGTACTACCATCACAGATTTCAGGCGATTTTTCCGAAATGACATTTTCGGTCGATTCTGGAGGCTACAGATCTCGGAATGAGACCGAGGCTATCTCCACCGATAATGAAGTTTAATTATCCTATTCTCTAGGGATGTGTCGCAACCGTCCCGTCCGGGGGGGTCCGAATGTCGTCGCGTCGGCAATTTTGGGAGTCGCCATCGATCTTAGTTGGAGTGGATCGAACACTCTTAGGATCGGCTCTAACCTTAGGGTCAGAACCGAGATCTGGTCTGCGAAAATGAAGTTCTGGGTTCGGGAGTACGGTTACGTGTGGGGAAGTTAAGCAACACCCCCACAACGCCCTAAATCGGTACTACTTAAGTCGATAAGTTTTATACGAGTTGGGTGTATTTTAGTAATAATTTGTAATTTTAGGGGTCCCACTGGACCATTTAATGATTTAATCATATTAGTTGTAATTTAATTATACGCCCATTGACGTAAAAATTTAAAGATAAAGTTAGTTGATTAATTGGACTCGAACCTTATCGGTTGCCTACGTATCCGTAAGACGGGATCAAAGTCCACGTAGTTCGCTAGGACTTTGAATATTTTAAGTAAAGTTATTACCACATTCCACTGATCGTGGTTCTCGTATCAAAATTTATTGTTAGTAAAATTTAGGTTGGTATTATGAAATTATAAACAGATAATGTAATAATTTCAATTATTAAGAGGAGTTTTGATGTATTAGAAAAGAAACGAGATATACTTAATCCGCAATTCTACACTTCGTATTAAGGATTTTAAATGAATAAAACTATACGGGATTATAATATTGACGCATGAGGGCCAGCAGCCCAACTGGCTGAAATGCCAGACCCAATTCGCGTTTGACCGAGGGAACAAGGGTTCGAAACGCGCTAACTACAAAAAAACTTTTTGTTTACTCGTTTTAGAGCAGAGAAGGGGGAAGGGCAATTTGGTAAGCTCACAAAAGGACGGTGGTACGGCCGCGTAATTAGCAATAAACCCTAGGGGCATTTTAGTCTTTTTGAAACTCATGGTATATAAACTTTTTAACCTAACCCTAATCAATCCGCAGCAGCCGCCGCCCTCTCGATTCCTCTCTCGATTCTTCCTCGCTTTTCTTCTTCTCTTCCAGAGAAAAGAAGACGAAACCCTAGCCGCCTTCAAAGGAATCAAACGGCGGCCGCTCTCTTCTTTCATTCCTCCCTAA